CTTTTTGGGTAATATAAAGTCCGTAAATTTGTTATGTTCTGCCGTTCCCAGTTTTCGTAGCAATAATCTTATCTTTTTCTCGTCTGTCCATGTTTGGCAATCGACTTCATAAAAGTCCTGATATCTATGGTAATAGCTTTCGAAAGTCTTTTCCTCTTCTGGGTTATAGGTAAAAGCTTCGATCGTCGACCATATTGTGTCTTGAGAAAAAGTACTTTCATCCAAGTCTTTCTGCTTAGACAGTATAGCTTTATGTATAAGTTCAGTCATTGCTAACTGTTTCTTTTCATTTTCTTCTTATATTTTCTGAAAATTCAATAGTTTTTCCTGAAAACGTTCTTCACTCTCTTGTTGTCTTTGCATCTGATACTTAATGAGTTCCAGCATAGATGATTGAAATTGCTCCATGATTATGCATGTGTAGAGAAAAAAGAAAGCAAAATTATGTGTGTATTTTTTTTCTCTCTCTGAGGGGGGCCAAAAAATTAATCCAATTCTCTGGCACGATTATTTTTTTTTTTAGCACAATTGGTTATTAAAGATTCCAATTTAATCAATAAGTTAATGTCTAACTTACAGTTTTTTCTTTTTTGTCGATAAACTTTTCAATCCTTTGCTGTGAAAAAAATGCTTGAACTCTTTTGAATTTTTCCGAGTTGAAAAATCGTTTCTTTCGCTGTTGCGATATTTATTTTTCAACGTAGGTTCTTTTTATCCCGTTCGAAGCCTCGTCGTCACTGTTGAGATGTTGTGAGAGTTCCCGCGTGTGTGTATTTGAATAAAGACAAACACAGTTGTAGGGATAAATACTGGTATATTTGTAAGAGGTAATTAACAACAGAGTGATTAGTAATAAGGAACGCCGGTTAGTAAGTAACAATAGTAAAAGTCTACAGTCCAACGGTATGTAATTGTAACCTGATCCTTCACACTACACTACTACTCTCTCTATCTCTGACTTATATCGTAGAGGGATAAGTCCATTATCAGTCAGAAGGTGGGTGCGCCCCAACAATAGCATTGAAGGTAGTTTTATCAGGATATTAGAACACCATCTTTGATCCTGATTTAAACTAAAGAGCTAGGCAGGGTACTATGGTTCCTTTTTATATAAAATATTTTCATGAATTTGTAGCCAGATGGACAAATTCCAAAATGAACAACTAAAGTGGGTTAAATGGACTTGGATGTGGTGATTTGTGTTTGGTTCAATATTCTAGCTAAATCAAACTAGTTTTAATTAGTCGATTTAAGACTCTTAGTTTCTCTAAACTTGCATAGTATAGTTTATTCGAACCACAGGCTTACCTAGGTTTGGATAAACTTAAATAAGGCTAAACCTAAGATGGCTGGTTATTGGAAATTTAACACATCCTTACTGGATATAAAAAATCCTGGGATCAGCTGCTATAACTCTTATAGTGGCAGTAGAAACTATTTTCAAATTTTCTGTTTTGTTTTGTTGGATAAATTGTTGTCTAAATTATGCAAAAAAGGAAAATAACACTGACATCTCATTTTAACAGATATATTTACCAAAATTACATAAAAATATTAAAGAGTAAATTTATTCAATAAAATTGCCATTGGCTTCAAGATGACTTTGGAATCTCCTGCAACCCTTCTGGACCATTTAAGTTGGTGATTGGTGTCATAATCCTTGCTGTCAGTTGATCTTTGGTGTTACAAGGAGTTTTGTTGGTCTATCGCTCAACTGCACCCCACATATCAAGGAGGTTACAGTCTGAGGAGTTAGGTGGCCAGATGTAAGGATGTTGTGGTTGCAGAAATTATCTGACAGCCATGACTGTGTCCTCATGCTTGTATGACATGATGCAGAGTCCTATTGCCTGACATAGGGTTTTCCAGTGGCCACCCTCTTGACCCAAGGTAGCAATACCTCTTCAAGGTACTTGATGAAAGTCTCCATGTTGAGTATGAGACCCTCATCAACAAATTTGGGAGTTCTTTTCTTATCAGAATAATCAGTGTGAGTTTTCTGAGCTGCTATATCTTCATAATGACCATTAGACTCATCCAACTCTTTCCGAATCCTCTGCACTGTCCTCAGATTGACACCCAATGACATTTCCAAATTTCTGGTGGAGTGAGTTGCATCATGGTGCACTTATTCTCATAGACAGTGCCTAACTGACCCTACTATACTGTGCAGTTGACAAAATCCAAAACAAACAATGGATGCACAAAGTTTAAAAAGGGATTAGAGAACATTAAAACTTCAGCTTTTCATACAGTTTGGCTATATACAAAATAAAGTATTAGTTTGAAAAATAAGTGTGATTCATCGTCAGATGGCAAATATCTTAACTTTAACAGCAGAGGAAATAAAGCTCTTATCCTGTTAACAGTTACAATGTTTTGAAGTACAATGTTGCTGTATTCCATGTTTCAAGATAGGATGGTGACAATTCCTGATAATCAGAAGTGTCTAACCTGGAAGTGACAATTATCACATTATATAAACTGAGTTTTTCTGCCTCTTTTTCTTTTTCTATATTTAATTTCTTTTACTGATATTTTATATCCAGTAAAGCCATTTACATAATTTGTCATCATGTTTTGCTTTTGGAATAAAAATCTAATACAGTAAAAAAAATTTAAAAGCTATAGCACCTCAATGGTGACAGCTTACTTACAAGATTCTTAAATATATAATAGAGATAATATATTCACCATTTTCTGCACATAATAATGAAGTATTTTGTACACAACATAATATATTAACTCCATGGCTATAGAATATGATTGAGCATCTTAAAGGTTTGTTTCTGTTGCTAATTGGGTGAGACATCCTAAAATTAACCATTTTAAAAAACTTAATACAAATCAAATGATAATATTCAGAAAATACATTTTAAGTAGTTGTGGCATTTCATGTATTAAGTTAATGATCCAACTTACCTCTTATAAAGAGATGAAAAGGCACTATATAAATTTAGCTTAAGTTTCAAATATTGGTAACCAATATTGCTACATATTCACCCTCATTTCAAGTGTGAATACAGGTAAGACATTTTGTGATAAATTCTAAGCAGTAGCTGGAAATGGTAAGTTAATTTTTCTAATTTATTTAGGAATGATCCTATTGAGAAGGCTGCAGACAAGATGTTAAATTACAGGGAATCTTTTGAAACTATTATAAACTGTTCATATTGTTTATGGAAAACTTGTATTTTATCTACACTTGCATTTTAAGGAATATATAAAACTGATGGTAATTCATAAAACTATTCAAAATCTAAAACTGGTAAAGACATAATATGCTATCATGACAACATGGTTAATGCTATTGATCATTAAGTGTGTATCAAGAGCATATGACTTTCAAAGGAACATCAATCTATTGTTGCTGCTTCTTTATATATAATATTTTAAACCTGATCTTAATGAAAGCAACAAGACTTTTATAAATTCTCATTTTCTATATTAGTTTTCTTTGTTTTAAAAAGAATAGAAAAAACAATGCAAATCTCTTGGCTGTAATCTGAGTGAGAGATTTCATAGATATCTTTTGTCTTAATCCTAGGCCGATGCCTGCAGAGTCAGTTCCGTTGTAATAATGGCCAGTGCATTGAATCTTTCTTAAAGTGTGACAAGGTCAGACATTGCAAGGATGGCACTGATGAACAAAACTGTGGTGCTACTACTATCCGACCGCAAGGTAATGGGCTTACCTCACTGTGTAGCTCATCAGGCACTTGTAGAAATGCAACTGTAGTTTTCATTAGAAAAATTCATTTTTAAAACATTTCATGATATAATAAATTTATTGATAACTTATACTATATTTGTGTTAATCTTGTCAATATATGTATTTGAAATATGTGACTATAAATTAGTACAGTAAACTTGTGAAAGATGCTGCATGTTACATCAATGTAATTATACCTCTATGTATTTTAGATTGCTATATAATCTATATTAAACATGCTGTTATAGAACTTTAAAATATATTTACATTGGCAGATATACACATTACAAATCAGATGCCATCTTTTTATATTAATTTGATTATGAATTAAGATATAATGTATAAGTGAAGTCAAAAATTCATTCAATAGAATAATTTTCAATTTAATTTTCATCTTAAAATATTTTTGTGAAAGTAATTTTACACCATGTTATTAATTTTGAAACCTCAACTGATATTTTCCATCTAATTTTATTTTTATATTGTAAAACTTGAGCAATTAATATTTGAATTAACTTTTTGACATTTTATAGTTATTCTACCTTTTTGTATATTTCACATTAGTATTTAAAAATGTAAATTGCATTCTATGCAAACTTTTGACCTCAGTTGTATATTTGTATCTTGCACACTATCATATATGTAACTACTGATATCATTACTTTTCTTTAGTATTTGAAAATATTTGTCATGTAATATCTAAATAAATGTTATATTAATAGTAAATATGCAAGTGGCATTATATTAGGGAAAGTCAAAAATTATCTACACAGTTGTCAAAAGATATGTTATGGTGAAAGTGTGGATAATTTTTGACTTACCCTCATATATACCTATTGTATACATTATAAAATGTTTGTTCAGTCATATTTGCTAGATGTTTTCTTACTTAAGGTTTGCTCAATAAAATATTTATAACTCTTTCTGTTGGATTCATATAAAACATTTTCAAATGATAGACAAAAATTTCTCCTATTTTAATTTTGTTTGTATCCACTTGATAAGCAATAAATATTTACTCCTTCCTTTTGCTAAATCCACTCTGCATAAAGCATTGTGGATATTCTTGAAGACCTGGTACATGGTATGCGATCCTTATTAAACTTTATACTTGAGAACATGATTATTTGTCCTATTATTTGAATATGGATGAATTACTGATTCAAATATTGTAATAATGCATTTTATAATATTTTTTTTAATATTTTTAGGCTTAAATGTATAATTTTGTTTTGGAAATTCTTCAAATCATTTTCTATTTATATTCTACTTTCTGTCATTCCTGTAGGCATTTGTCGTTGGGACCAATTTCGGTGCAATGATGGACAGTGCATTCAGTATTATCTTAAGTGTGACCAAATTTGGCACTGTAGAGATGGCAGTGATGAACAAAACTGTGCAAAACCTCTGATTAAGAAATCAGGTAAAAAAAATGGTCAAATTTGAAATATTCCTGCTGCACCTTTGAAAGTTTGCACTGCTGTAAAAAATATACACATATTTAGATCAAAATAGATTTCAGAGTTGTACAAAGAACTAAAGCAAGATGTAAGATTTTTAAATTTTTGGTTGAGTCTTTAGTAAACTCATGCATTGTGTTAAAAAATCAAAGAAAAACATTGAAAATAATTAAACTGAAGCTTAGATTTAGGTAGGAAATATTAATGACATATTCTGGTGATACAATATTCTGAATATCAAACATGTATAGAGCTTATTTATATTTAATATAGTTATTTCTGGCTTAATTTTTATCAGTCATATATAAATCTCTGGTCTCTTAGTTATAAAATGAATAGTCTAGTTTCCTGTATTGGATAAGACTGAGTAATCTTATATCTTAAAATTGGATATATATAGATTTATTTTTTTGCTTTGCCTAAGCAAAGCAGTCACCTGAGAATAGATTTTTCTAATTATAGTCTTTGTACAAGTGTATCAGTTAAGAAAAATCTCTAATCATAGTGGTACTGTATCACATTAACTGCTAACATAACTATCAAAACAGGGAAGCTCTGAGTTACTTTTCTTAAATAAAAATGAATACATTGGCTAATTCTGGTTTTCAATTGTGTTTCTCTCAAACTGAAATAAATCTTCATAATGCTGATGTTGTTTGAGTCTTATGTATTAGGCATTTTTGTCTGATTTGAAGTTTTGTAACATTATACAATGATATTGCTAAATTCATTTCAATCTAATGAACTGAATCTTATGATTTTTAGTCTCAAATATTTCCATATTTGCATAACTTCAAAAACATGTCTTCACAACATGTATCTTACTCAAGAATAAAAAAAAACTATTTGGCAATGTTATCTTTGTAGAGTAAAACTGCAGGAAACTCTAAAATTAGATATTTTTCATAGTAATGTTTGAATTTGGTTAAAAGCAGTCAGAAGTTTAGCAGTCATCAAAGCTGAACTAATGAACTGCATGCTATATTGGTCAGCATTGTAGAATATACAAAACCAATGACAAATTCTAATGATATTGAACCAGTCCACATAGCATAAATTTTAACTGATAATTTTGTTTCATTCAATATAATTATAGTTATTGTATCTGATTGAAAACTTTATATCAATCACTGAAGAAACTTTTTAAATTGTGTATTTTTTATTATTCTGTATGTTCTTTCCTGTTCCACTTTCTGTATAAGGTTCTTTAAGGATTGTTGATTAGTTTATTACTCTATACTTTGCATATGCACTTCTAGATTACATATTGTTGCACCACAAGTCACAATCCATTATCACAATTCTCTCTGCAACCATAATTGGAATTACCAACACTGTAAAGAAGGAGGATGCATTCCATTCTAAGATGTGAACAGTATGTGGCATTGTATGGATGCTAGTGGTAAGTAAAAATACAATTCACCCATCCAGATAATGCAAGTAATACTGATTTTTACATGTTTCAGTGTATTGTATTCACTCACTCTTTCAATGGCAATTCTCCAGATTTTAAGATATACAAAATGTTCTATTTCAGCACTTTTAAAAAGGTCATGCCCTTTCAGGATAGATGCAGACATGGCATATTAATATTATTAATATTCCTTCTTTTATGACGTATAGATGGTGTTGAACAAATAAAAATTAGGAAGAAGCTTTATTCAAATCATTTATTATAAAAATAAATTGTAATATAGTGTTTTATTAATGACTTACTGTTGAAATGATGAGATGTAACTGTAAGTTGTAACAGTTTTTCTTGCATTGTTCATTTGTGGAGCTCCTTCCCAGCCTTCTTGCTTTCCTGTCCCCTACAACTTTCAAAAGTTTAAATGCAGTATCAATCATTATCTTTTGTCTTCCAGAATCCTCTTCTTTTATTGTCCTTTCTCTTCAATTCTCTCATCTTCTTTCACTCTCAGTAACCCCTTGCATCTCAATGGTACTATCACTTTGTTTGGGGTGAAATAATTGAAAAAAATTTTACATCTCTAAAGCATTACTCTGTAATATCTCACTGTAATAATTACTCTGAATTTTAGACTTGACTTTAGCTTATATTTTGTAGGGAAGAATTTAAATTTGCATATTTCATAATAAAAGAAAATAAATGATAATGATTCTATTTAATATTTATATTCAGCAAAATAAATTAGAGATATTTGCTGATTACCTTCTCATGTGATTTTGTTAGTAAATTTATTTGGAAAATGAATTATAATGACCAGTATAATGAATACAGACTAGAAAGGAATAAATCTTATAGCAAATACTTTTGAAAATATTTCCATGTTTACTTTTTTTTTATAATATTTTTTCCAAGTTGTAGCAGAAACAACTTTTCATATTTAGAGGAAAACAGTAAATTTTTTAATTATATTTTTTTGCTTTCTTTTATTGTTCAAAATGATTTTTCAAAACTGAAAAATTTGTAAAATACTAAATACATACCATTATTGAGTAAATAGTAAAAATCAATGAATGAATTGGTAAGTAGTGTTAAAATTAATCCCCTAAATCAGTTGGTTTGTATGAAGAAGTCCTATTTTCCTAGATCCTTTCATGTGCAGTGATCAGCTTTACAAGACACTCAGCATCTGCTTTAGACCTGGCATCCAACTGGAAAATAAGTGGATCATAAAAAATTGGGAGACAGAAAGCAAATATTTTTAAACAGGATAAATGTCAGTTTTAAAAAACAAATTTCCTAGAATGATTTAAAATTAATATTTCATCATTTAACTTTCCTTTGGAATTATTTATTAAAAGTGAATTTATATTCCAATTTTAAAAAAAGACAAATTTGTAGATAGCCAATGCATTCACAGTGACTTAGACTGCAATTATTTAGTTATAAACCAAAAGATAACAGTGCAATTATAAAAGGTCCTTGAAGCTGATATTAACCCTTAGCACTCTGTAGGTAGGTGACTTCATTTGTCAAACAATATATTTATACAGCCACTGCATACAAATCTTATCATCAGACAATAGTGTGGTTGAATTTTACACGTGTGTTGTAATATCCTACTATGGCAACAGAAAAATGACTAACTGAAAATCAAATATGATGCTACTGCAGTTGTCTAGTCATTTATAGCCAATGGATGAGGATGAAATACTTATGACATTGCAGAGTGCTAAAGGTTAACAAGTAAACCCATAAAATAAGGGTTTCAATTTTTCAAAATGATGGAAAATGCGACATCAACATTTGAACACACATTGGACTAGGGAAAGATGCATTCCAAAAGCTAAACAAAGAGGAAAATTTTGTTAGAAACAAAGAAATGAGTGATGAATTGCTATTTAATATTAATCCTCTTGTCAGGTAGTGAGTGATAGACAAGCTCCCAACAAATGAAAAGGAAACTGGAGTCAACAAATGTGGTTTTACAGAAGGATACTAAGACTTCATAAATGGAGAGAGTATTTCTTGGACATAATGAGGAAGGAGGGCTTGGAAATTTTACTATTCTATTGAGAGTGAGAGAGATAAAGGAAAGTAGTAAGCCTGATGAGTTTGTGTGAATGAATGATGAGAAAATGCTGCTAAGGGCTGCATGATATTTCAAAGTTGTGGAGAACCATGATGCCCACACCTGGAAGGGATATAAAATATGGAAGAAACCCCAAAATAAGAATTACATAAGTTTTTTCTTTTTAATTGAATTTAGATCTAAAATAAAATCATTAAATTTATGATTTAAAAAGATATATAATGGTCATTATAGATGGGAGTGTGGGCCGAGCATCATTGTAAGCCCCAGGATGAACAGGATTTCCTTCGTGAGTGTCATTCGGTCTTGATGGTCATTCCTTGGTCTAGTGACCTTTCTCAGTTGAGGAGAATCTTCTATCGTGGACCATTGAAGGGGGATGCAAAGGATCCACTATGTGAGCGGCTTGATGTTTCAGAGGAGGAGTTTTGCTCCTTCTCGTCTTGGGTGCCAGCGATAGATTACCTCAACAACCCTGAGTTTTCACTTAACTGGTGACTGGTTCAGAATAGGCTACCTCTCAATGACATGGCCTTCATATGGGGCTTGGTGGATTTGCCAGACTGCAAACGATGTGACCTTGGTGTGAAGGAAATGGCTGGGCACACTTTCTACCATTGTCTTCAGGTCTGCCTCCTATAGGACCATGTTGGCAAGTTGATGGCTCATACCACTCCAGAAAAGCTCATGCTCATCGATCATGCATATGCATGTGATAATGTGTTGCTCCTGTATTCCAGAGTGAAACAAATGGTGTTTCTATTGATGAATGGTGATTTGGACAACACGACAGGAGGAAGTCTTATGAGGCAGCTGTCTTTCATATCAAGATCTGATCTGATTCTTTGAGCACCAGCTCAAGATGAAGATTAGAACTGATAGGAAATGGTTCGTCTCAACAGTCTTCAGTGGGAACTGGGTGACTGAGGTGAGCTTGGTTCATGTGAATGGGGCTAGCCTTGATTTTATTTTTTAGGTCCACCTACATCACATCAGGGTGGTTTCCTGTGAAGCCCACCCCTGGCTAGGTTAGACCACTTTTGTGTATCTAGTTAATGTGAGTAAGTGTTGTTCCCAGCCTGTTCCTGGCTGCATCTTTTGTTAGGATCAATGTCGACATTCCAACCTTCCCAGTTTGTTTTTTGGCCCTCCTCTTTTCATCTCAACCAGATCATCTTTTTCCCCTCTCCCCATGGCCATATTTATTTTATCCTTTCTTCCCTCTCCCTTAGTGAGAGAGCCTCTTGGTTTTCTCTAAAAGCAAAATACAGCAGCCTCTTTTTTATTGAGGGGTGGACAGATCCAACTAACATCAGTTTTGTTTCCTTTGTTTGCTTTATATTTTAGTTTGTTTTTTGGGATCATCTCCCTTACTCATCATTCATAAGTTTTTGTGGGAAAATATCAGGAAATTTTCAAATTTTCATGTCATGGGTTGTGTTTTTGTAGGTCTCCTGAGTGTATGATGCATTATGGTAAATGGAGGTTCTTTTGGTGAATTTGTTAAATTGTAATGAGTAAATTGGTTGTGAATCGCATTAGCTAGGTATAGGGTAGCAGTGAGAACCAGCCTCAGCTCAGCCCCACACCTTTTCAGCCTTGTGCCACAATTTTGTATTTTTAACAAAATAATTCGTGAGACTTATAAAGGGGGATAACAAATGGATAATATATTTGGTTATTTGTTTCAGATCACAGCAAATCAGTAAGTAAAAAATATTAAAAATAGATCAAAGAAAATATTGTTTTCTTTCATTTTATAAAAAACAATTAAATGTAAATTTATATAATTCCTCCTGTTTGTATATTGCTGCTGAGTTAAGATATTCACTATGAAATGAAAACTTTATAATAACTTTTGAGGTGGATGTTTATATAACATTTAAATTTTAGAGAATTTCTAAGAATTATGGTGAAAGTTATTAACCAAAACGATATTTACATGAAATTTTAAAGGTCAGTTATATTTTATTGAATCATGTTTTATTACAGTTTTACATCAATTTTATATTCATTTATATTATAAATTTTATAATATTCAGGTGGATCAGTAGTGTAAATTGCTAATGGGAACCAACATTTTTCACAATCTCTTCATTAATTTAATGATGCCAATAAAAAAATGTTTTATTGACTGAAGTCATTAAATAGAAATCTAATTTGTAGTTTGCTCACATATTTCACGGAAATGAAAATATACTGAGTTTCATGCTTTTCAAGCATATTTTGTTTCATTTGGAATAAGAATTTTGAATTTAGTAGTGATTTAAAAAAATATCTATTTAATTTACTACTTTTCCCTTAACAGGTTGTAAGTACAATGAATTTGGTTGCCTTGATGGTAAATGTATTGAAATTATCTTGGTGTGCAACCAGAATAAGGACTGTTCTCATGGAGAAGATGAGTATAACTGCACAAACACAACACAGACAACAATAACAAAAACAGTATCGAGTACAACAGGTGAGGAGCATTAATGCCAGACTTCTTAAAACTTAACTTAAATTTTGATTTTATTTGAAAGATTAAGTTTTTAGGTATTCTTAAAAGAAAATAGTGGCATCTTTTCTTGTCACTTATTGAACTGACATAGACAAAAAAAAAATCTCTTAAAAATTCAATATTTATCGAGATATGTTTCAAAGGATTATTTAACTAGATTTTGTAAAAGTAATGTTTATGTCTTACTTTAAGACTTAATGAAAATAACGTTTATTCACGCATGGTGTGGGGGTAAAAAGTAAAAAATGTATAATAATCCCACTCCAACTTAAAAGGCGTGTGAAAAATAAAAATGAAATATGGAACACTAGCAGTGAAGTAAACAAGACATTTGTATTTATCTTTAAATGTATTCTTAAACTACTATTTAAGGTCATTAATCAGTAGTTTATGAATAAGATTCTTAAATTAAGAATATAATATTCTATTTATAGGCTTTTATGAAAATTAGTAGAATGCATATTTCTTGTACTACATTGTTTGGGAGCATTTTTGAAAACTTAAATGATACTTTTTTAGTTTAATACATTGCTTTTATTTTTTATTTACATACCTGTTTCATGTCATAGAATATCTAATTGCCCTTAATATATGTGTGTGTGTATTTTTTTAATTCTTTATGTTGTATGAAGGCAGTACACTTCTCAATGATTCATTCAGAAAACAACACAAATTATGCCTAGTAATAATAAATACTAATTTTTAATGCATTTAAAGGTGAGTAGATTTATATTGTAAAGAAATTTCCCAATATTAAAAATAGAGCAACAATAGTCAAGATATAGAAAAGTTCAAAAGACCTATCTTAGGACCAACCTCAAGTTTCCCAAACAACACTCATCAGGGTCTAATAAATCTATTGAATTTATGAGAGATCTAATTTGCATATGCTGCATAAAGAACACTAATCAAATTCCCAACAAATTTCAAAATTATATACATATGATAATTATATAAAATAATTTTGAAACTTTTTACTTTGATTATCTGACACCATCAGTAAAAGAATTTTATTTCACAAAAACAAAATCTATTAGTGAAACAAAACAAAATATAATTCACAGTAAGTGGTTGAATGCCTGTGAAGTGTTGAGGAATGATGATGAGGAAACACACATGTTTTATTTAATGAAACAAAATAAGGAATTTATTTACAAATTTACACATTTGAAGTTGTCAGTTATTTTAGGAAAAGGAATCAAATATTTAAAGTTTGTAGTTTCGATGAGAGAGAAAATGTTCATATTAAATCATCGAATACAAAGTAATATTCCAAAATGTTTAAAACAAATTGAGAAAATTCGTTATACAGTTGTATTCAACATAAATGAAAAGACATATTTTAAGGTACTTAGCTTTGGAGTTGAATAGAGTTCTTTGAAATTGCACTGCTTTCATTAGAGGCTGCTAATGTAGCAGTGTGTAATTTGATACTGGCATTATTCAGATGCATGGAACTCTGCTTTCTGCCTGCTGCTTCTTTTTGCTTTTTCTATCTCTCTTTGCCTTGATTCAACTTTCTCTGCCTATTTATATCAAAAAGTGATTTCACATCAGCTCATTACTTTTTTCTCAGTTTGTAAACTGCTCCTTTTTCCATTGGTCAAAATAAATTTTCACATAGGCTCAATAAACTTTGCTTTGATCTTTTCCTCAGTCCGAAGCCAATTTCTTTTACTTTCGGTCAAAATAAATTTTTGCATATACTCACAAATTTGTAAACAGGGGTGGGGAGAAAAGAGAGTTATTTTTATTTTGTATTCACCACATCTGATTTTAACTGTGTATTGTTGTAGAAATTAAAATTTTTATTGAGATTTTCAACTGGCAGGTTTTTTAGTTTGGAAGCTTTATTAATGAATTCCAATTCCAGGGATCTGTTTCCACCTTCACAAGGCAGTACTACTGCTTTGGTTGAGGACTAGATTTAATCCCTGGTATCAGGTTGGGATGGGGGATGAGCTAATTTTCAACTCTGGTTCCATGTCTGCTACAGACTACCACTTTTAATCTCAGCTTGTCCATATTCATTTTAGTGGATGTGTGGATAAATCTTGATTTCAACTCATATCCCACATTGTTTAAGTATTAATTTAGTAAAAACAACATAGTTTTTATCTTAATGTTATGACATGGGTAAAAATTTGTAAGTTCATTTTCATTAGGAATAATTATAGCTTTTTTATTCAAGAGCCTTCAGAGCTTGACATCTTCCCTAATAAAGAAAAATACACTGAAAATATTTTTAAAAAGATCCTCCCTCTCCTGCTTATTTCATATAAAATGACAGAAGCTTACAAAATCCACCAAACCAAAAAAGAGACAGTATAAACTAGACACACTTCTTTCTTTTTATGTTCCATGTCCCTTCAGAATGTAGGCAATCATGGCTCTCCACTTCCTCCTATCTCTTGTAGATCTCAATATGTTTTGTTCCTTTGCTACTTACCCCAGGCCATGTTCTGTCATCCACTTGCTTAAATCTGCTAGGTATGTCATGCATTGCTTTCCCTTGTCTCTCTTTCCCTCTATTTGACCTGCAAGTATCAGATTCTCCAGGCTCTCCTTTCTCATTACGTGTCCCAGAAACTTCAACTGCCTCTTCCTGATGTTAAGTATAAGTTTCCTCCTTGTTTGCATCTTCTCCAAAACCTCATCATTTCTCATATGTTCGGCTCATGGTATCTTCAGCATCCTTCTGTAGAACCATACCTCCCTTGCCTTGAGTCTCTTCTTCATCTTTGAAGAGACCGTCCAACATTCGCTGCCATAAAGGAGGAGAGATGTTATGTAACAGCTCAATAGTCTTTTCTTTGTTGCCAAAATAATAGTCCTGTTTCATAATACTCTGCCTATCTTTTGGAATGCATCTTTGGCCATCCCAATATGTCTTCAGATCACAGCATCTCACTTACCATCCACTGTCAAAACACTTCCCAGATATTTAAATTTCTGCACCTACTTGATTTTAGTGTCCCTGACCTGTAAATCACATTTCAGGCTCATCCTTTTACTGATGGCTATGCATTCTGTCTTCTTGTAGTTTATGCTTAGTCTCTTCTTCTTGCTCTTCTTTGCTACCTTCTATAGGAGGTTTTGTAATTTCTTTTCTGTGTCTGCTATCAGTACTGTATCATCTGCATATCTTATGTTGTTAAGATTGTGGTCACCAATAATGAATCCTGGTAGGATTTCCAATTCTCACAGAACTAACTCGCTGTATAGGTTGAATAATTCCAGTGTGAAGAAACATTCTTACCTTACACTCCTTTCTATTTTAGCATATCTGCTGAACTCATTTTCTATGTACATGCCTGCCATTTGCTGCTAGTATAGGTTCTTGATTATTTTAATATCTTTTCCAAATATATCAAGGTTACTGAGCAGTTCCAACAGATCTTTGGGGCATACTTTGCTGAACGCCTTTGCATAGTCTATAAAACATAGGTACATGTCCTTCTGCATTTTTATTGCTTTTTCTGAGCATGAATATCATTTTCCTTGTTCCTGTGTCTTTACCTAACCCACACTATTCTTGTCCTATCTCTGACCTGATTCTGCTGCACGGTCTACGAATACGAATGATGAGTTTTGTTACGTGGTTCATTAGGCTGTTCACATTTGTTTGTGCCTGGTTTCTGAGGAAGTGCTATGAAAATAGATCTCCTGAGATCTTTCCATATATCCCCACTGTTGTAGATTTCATTTATTATTTCTGTGATCTTGTCTATGCCAAAATCCTCTAAGGCTGTCAGCATTTCTGTTACAATTCTGTCTGGCCCTGCCACAATGTTTCTGTTCAATTTGGTCAGTGCAGCTTCTACTTTTTTTTTAGAATTTCAGGTCCATTGGTAGTTCTGTGTATTGCTGGTTGTTCTCTTTTGTTGTGGAAGAGTTCTCCAATATACTTGCTCCAGTGCTGAAGAATTTTTTCCTTCTTTAATTTGAGTGTTCCATCATTTGATTTTTTGCTTGTTAGATCCCTTATTTGTTTATGCATATTTCCTTTGTTGGTGTCATTCAATATTGCTATTTCTGCACAATTTTTTTGTTTAGCCACTCTTCTTTCACCTGCCTGCATTTCGTCCTTATTTCATTGTGTAATTTTCTGTATTCCATTCCACATCCTAGCAGAGTTTCCAGTCACCTTTGCATCATTTCAAGAATCTCATCAGTCATCCATTTGTTTTTTTCTTCTTTGCCCATCCTTTGGGATGATATCATTTGCTGAAGTCATTAAAACATCTCTTAGTGCTTAAAATTCCTTGTAACCTATCTCTTGTTTGGAAAGGAACAAGATGATATTAATAATAAACCCACTACATATATTGGTTTTATTACAACCACACTCTCTCATAGACTTACCTATCACCTTTCTGATCTTAGTTCTATTAAACAACATTTCTCAGAAAAACATAGCCATGGACATAATATTAGACAGATATTAGGTGATAACACAATAATGCTCACACATACACAGAGTAAAAAAAACAATCTGATATTGGAGGCTATCTCCATTAAAACAAAACAACCCATGCTCAACAAAATTACATTTCAAACTAGTCACAACACATTACACTGTATCTACACATATGGTTCTGTTGTTAATATTTCAGCCTCTCGTGTGGTATAACGTCATAGAAGCAAATATTGAATTTATGACCTGCATCTGCTATTATGTGACCATTATTGCCAGTTAGCAATCTTCTAATCAACATGACAAAATATCATTTTTGAGGTTTTATAACCACTTCGAGGATGGCTTATGTGGGCCAAAAGCTTAGATTAAAGACCAACTTAATAAAAAATATCCAAATGTTGAACAATTTTTGTTTTTATTTTCACATGAAATTAAAGCAGACATACAAACTTTAGAATGGCTCGTGATCAGACCTAACAGACATTCATTGTCTGTGATATTTAACAATATATATATATATATGTGTGTGTGTGTGTGTGTG